GCTCCTCTATCCACTCTATCATATGCCTTTTCTAAATCCATAAATGCAATAAAAACTTCCCTACCTTTATCTAAATACTGTTCACATATATGCTTCAATGTAAACACTTGATCTGCACATCCCCTACCCACTCTGAAGCCTCCTTGCTCATCTGCAATTCTACATTCTGTCTTACCTCTAATTTTTTCAATTATAACCCTACCGTATACTTTTCCTGGTATACTCAGTAAACTTATTCCTCTATAATTTTTACAATCTCTTTTGTCCCCTTTCCCTTTATATACATGCTCTCTGCCAATCCCTAGGTACCTTCCCCTCTTTCATACATTTATTAAACAAAAGTACCAACTACTCCAGCACTATATCCCCCCCTGCTTTTAACATTTCTGTCATGATCCCATCAGTTCCAGCTGCTTTACCCCCTTTCATTCTACGTAATGCCTCACGTACCTCCACCACACTTACATTCTGCTCTTCTTCACTCCTAAAAGATGGTATACCTCCCTGGCCAGTGCATGAAATTATCGCCTCCCTTTCTTCCTCAACATTTAAAAGTTCCTCAAAATATTCTCGCCATCTACCTAATACCTCCCTCTCCCCATCTACTAACTCCCCTACTCTGTTTTTAACGGACAAATCCATACTTTCCCTAGGCTTTCTTAACTTGTTTAACTCACTCCAAAATTTTTTCTTATTTTCATTAAAATTTCTTGACAGTGCCTCTCCCACTCTTTCATCTGCTCTCCTTTTGCACTCTCACACCACTCTTCACCTTTCTTTTACTCTCCATATACTCTGCTCTTCTTATAACACTTCTGCTTTGTAAAAACCTCTCGTAAGCTACCTTTTTCTCTTTTATCACACCCTTTACTTCATCATTCCACCAATCACTCTCTTTCCTCCTGCCCCACCCTCCTATAACCACAAACTTCTGCCCCACATTCTAATACTGCATTTTTAAAACTATTCCAACCCTCTTCAACCCCCCCCCCCACTACTCATCTTTGCACTAGCCCACCTTTCTGCCAATAGTCGCTTATATCTTGCCCGAACTTCCTCCTCCCTTAGTTTATACACTTTCACCTCCCTCTTACTTGTTGTTGCCACCTTCCTCTTTTCCCATCTACCTCTTACTCTAACTGTAGCTACAACTAAATAATGATCTGATATATCAGTTGCCCCTCTATAAACATGTACATCCTGGAGCCTACCCATCAACCTTTTATCCACCAATACATAATCTAACAAACTACTTTCATTACGTGCTACATCATACCTTGTATATTTATTTATCCTCTTTTTCATAAAATATGTATTACTTATTACCAAATTTCTTTCTACACATAACTCAATTAAAGGCTCCCCATTTACATTTACCCCTGGCACCCCAAATTTACCTACTACTCCCTCCATAACATTTTTACCCACTTTAGCATTGAAATCCCCAACCACCATTACTCTCACACTTGATTCAAAACTCCCCACGCATTCACTCAACATTTCCCAGAATCTGATTATTATTATTATAATAAAAAAGAAGAGCTAAGCCACAAGGGCTATACAGCTTTAGTTTCATGAAATTGTAATAAATTTGGAATGAATAAGACACAGTTAAAGGGTTAAGTGGTCAAAGCAATCCCTCAAAGGTTGTTTGAAAGATTTAAAGTATGTGGGAGAATGTGCATAGGTTATATGCAAATACTAAGGAACTTGAGCATCCACATATCAAAATCAAAATCAAAACTTCTTTGCTAAGGTTACAATGTGTGTTTACATTTCATAATTTGATTAGTACAAAGGAAACCACTATCATGCCGAGGCATATTGGGCAGACTTAACTTAATACTTAAAGACTACTTAAGTCTACACAGGCAAAAAGTGGTAGATTACAAGTATTCAATATTTTACTCTATTATTAATATGAGGTAGTATAATTTATGATACAAACATACATTTTTAAGTTTATAATAATGGCTTAATAGTTAAGGGATAATAAAATATTTGGGAGAGTTGCTTAGCACAGTGTGGGTATGGTTGTTACTGAGAGATGAGGTGATTTTTGGGTATAGTCCTAAATTGATTTGTGGGCAGGGGACCTCTTGTTGTTTCAGGCAAAGAGTTCCAAATCCTCAGGCCCTTTATGTGCACTGCATTTTTGCATAGTGCGAGACAGACATGAGGGATGTCAAAAAGTGTTTTGTGCCTCTTGTTATGCCTGTGTGTTCTGCTGAAGCAAAGAAAAGTTTGAGTGGAGGGTTGATATTGGAGTTTAATGTTCTGTATATATAGTAGGTACAATAATAAGTGTGTATATTTTGTATGAAGTGAAAGTGTTGAATGATGAAAGTATTTTCTTTCTTTTTTGGGGATTTTCTTTTTTTTGGGTCACCCTGCATCGGTGGGAGATGGCCAACTTGTTAAAAAGAACAAAAAAATGTATATTAAGTAAGTTCAAGCTTTTGAAGAGTGGTGGGGTGTGTTGTCTGGTGCAGGAGTTTGTGATCATCTGCACTGCCACTTTTTGTTGGCTTATTAAAGGTTTAAGGTATATTAGAAAGTGCTATAAAATAAGGAGTGCCTTTTGGGGTACATAGTATCGTAGCTTGGAAAGAATACCTAGTGTTTTGGAAATTTTCTTAGTTATATGCTGGCTGTGACTCTGTGACCTAGAAATTTGCCCTCAGTGTGTTGTAATGGGTGAACCATTTATTGGTATGTTTAACTGGATATTTAATGCTCTGTTTCCAAAAAGCATGAAGCAGGTTTTGTTTATATTGAGAGTAAGTTTGTTGGTCGCCATCCAATTTGACATTTTATGTAGCTCACTGTTTAGTGTTACTAAGTATAGCCGGGTTTGGGTGGGAGAAGACGTAAGTGGTGTCATCTACGAACAGAACTGGTTTAAGAAGTTGCAATGCATTTGTGAGGTGATTGGGAGGTCACACCATTTATGTATACATACTGGTGTAAGATAAGATAAGATAAGATTTCGTTCAGATTTTTAACCCCGGAGGGTTAGCCACCCAGGATAACCCAAGAAAGTCAGTGCGTCATCGAGGACTGTCTAACTTATTTCCATTGGGGTCCTCAATCTTGTCCCCCAGGATGCGACCCACACCAGTCGACTAACACCCAGGTACCTATTTGCTGCTAGGTGAACAGGACAACAGGTGTAAGGAAACGTGTCGAAATGTTTCCACCCGTCGGGAATCGAACCCAGGCCCTCCGTGTGTGAAGCGGGAGCTTTAGCCACCAGGCCACGAGGTCTACCACTAAGATAAGATTTTGGTATCTTCAGGGGGTCCTAGAACCAATGCTTATGGTGGTCTGTGTGCTGGTAGCACAAATAGCCTGGTCCTGGATGGAGCTGCTTGGACAGTGACTCTTACCCCAAAAACTGTAATAAGTACTACAAATTTGAAAAATTATAGAACTGGTGTACCCAATCATTTTTGTGCGGTTGCATGCATGCAATCATGTGGGGCCAGGAGCTATGATTTGACCCTCTGTAACCACAATTAGGTAAGTACATGCATGCATGAACACACCTACCTACCTACCTTTGGAGGAACTAAAGAGAAAATTCAGTGGAAATTGTTTCAGGTCTGGAGATGAGCTGTATTACTGTATTTACAAAACAAAAATAATTTGCTTATTATTTTTAACAAAATGTTGCTAACATTTAAACAATTTAAACAAACTGTTGCAATCATGACTAATTACATCATTACAAATATCAATTAAAATTGAATCAAAATCAGAGCTCAGTCACAGTCCATTATTAGTTCCAAGTCATAGGCTATTCATGAGTAACAGCAAAGGTTTGTTTACATGGAAAATCTCCCTGCTAATTAGTTCTGAAAGTGGGTTGTTGGGTTCTTAGATAGGCACTCATGCCACTTTTCAGGGGGGTGCATTAATAATGTTAAACTGCTCTTGATCCAAGGAATTAGAGCTACCCCCTCATCAGATCAAATCTGATTGACCCCAACCCCTCTGACTCACCAGGTGATTTATGACCCTTATGTGTTAAGCTCTTTCCCATGATCACTGAATCAGTTTGAAATAATAAGTCATACCTTTAAAATTGTACTATTTGTTCATTAGTTACCTTTCTTACTGTACATGTAATTGTAGTTAAAGACATAAGAAATCCTACTGAATAGTCTGTCTAATTCTTAAGTAGTCTTTAAGCATTAGGATTAGTTTGCCCAAAATGCACTGTATACTGGTAGCTTTCTTTTGTGCCTAACAATGTTTTATTACATGTTACATGTAAACTACATTATTTTTGTACCACATATAAAGAAATAAAAATTTGAATTTGGATGACCATAATCGCTTTTCCCCCTTTCCATCAATATAAGGCGAGCCTACATTGGGATATAACCCCATCCCTCCACTAAAGTGAAGCAGTGTTGGGAAGGGCACTACCTCTCTTCCTTCTACTAAAGTAAGCCAGGGTTAGGGGGCACAGTGCACTTACCCCTTCCCACCACCACAGTAAGGTAAACAAGCATCAAGGGTCACACACAACACCCCCTCCCCATCACTGCAAGGTGAGCCTGCATTGGGAGATTTTGAGGAGAGGAAACTGAAGACAGTACCTCAGAAAAGGCAGTTTAAGTAGCCAAGAGAGAGCCTGACCTAAATTAACTGGTGTAAATTCTGCTTTTGATACTGCATTCAAGGTTGGTCGGGATACCATGTATTCTTGGTTGCCTCAGCCAGTCCGGTATCTATTGGCTATCTTTCATTTACAATCTAGAAATACTGTAATTATATTGGGTTTATATTTTTTTCTATTATGTATTATTTACTATTATTACAAATTTTTATACTTTTATTTATTTCTTATTACAGTGTTTTCATACCTATTATTTCTTCTTACAATTTTTGGTATTACTATACTATATTTGTGTTATTATTTGTATCTTACTATATCACTATTATTCATATTTATAGTAATAGCACTGAAATGACTTATTATATTTCTGCAGGTGCCTAGTGATGATGTTTCTCCGCCACTTTCCTCACCAGAAAGTACCGAGACACCAGAGAGAAAAACTCTAAAAAGTATATTAAAACGCATGTCTCGTGAGGACTCCAGAGGAAACCTCTTACCCCCTGATGGTGCTGACTTACGGAGACTTATGAAAGCTCCAACAGTCGAAGGCTTTGTAGCCAGAAGATCGAAACTTAGCAAATCTGTTTCATTCCAACGAAAAACACTTTCTTCTCCACCTCCTCCTGCTCTTCTTGATGAACTTAAAAACTCTCAATCACTTGACACACCTAGAAACACTGTTCCCGAAATCCTTCCGAGCAATGTAGTGTCAACAGCAGCAAAAGAATCAGCCAAGGACAGGACAAATGATAGCTGCACGACCAACACTGATGGCGTTAATAAGCTTATGGTGAAACTAGGCTCAATGGGTCTGGATGGGGCCCAGGAGACACAAGCTCAAGATTTAGTTTTAGGAGTCAGAAAGATACTCAGAGACAAAATGGTCAGTTGAAAAATTTTTAAGTTTCGAATAGCAAATTTAACGGAATTATATACAACATGTAAAAATGTTGGGCGATAATGTAAGCTGTATATTCTATATTCTTAAGACATGGGTATGGAAATAGCCTTCCCACATCAGATTTTCAAAGAGTTAAGTGCACCTTACAGTTTTTGCATATGCCATTAACATTATACAGTAACCGAAAAAATAGGTGTGTGTGCGTGTTTCAGATTTTTTGTTTACATAGGCAGCAGGTAGGCATAAAATATAAGCACTTAACAGTATTTGTTAAAACTTTAAGAGTTAATGAGGAGTAAATAAAGGTAAGAGGCATAATGTTGCATTCCAGTTGTTAGTTGCTGGAGTTGAGATGTGATAAAATTACAGTGTTATGCTACAGATTTGGTTACTGGTTACAGGTAATGTGGACCTGCAGTTTTAATACAAAGGTGGTAAATGCTCACAACAGCTTGAAAAGTACTGCATTTTATTTTAAATAAGAAATCATGAAAGCAAAGATTATGTTCAGATTTGAAACAATACACCTCATCTTTTTTCTTTAGTTTTATGGTACATAATATACTTTCATACAGTATTTGAAATGTGAAAGCTTCTTCCATTAAGCAGAGAGATCTTTAATTTACTTAGGACCTTATTTAATGATGCATCAGGTATAGCAAATCAAATTTTCAGGATTGTGTCTTGTTGCCATCACATGCATTAGAAATAGGAAAATTCAGGCAAAATCTTATTGAAATATTATTGTTACCAGGCTATACACACTTGGTTGTCTCCACTACCTGAACTGACCTGCCCTCCCTTTTAACCATCCCCTCCACACACACACACTGTCACACTAACTTTTCAGTGTCCAACACATCACTTCACCATACATTTGAATTATTTTTAACACACCTGCTGTCTCCCACCAAGGTAGAGTGGCCTTAAAAATGGAAATATATTTAGTCACTTATTCAATAGCTGTTTTACTGGAAGTGTGCAGACATCACATTTTGAATGACCTGAACTGCAATATCCAATGCAGACACTGCACTTCCCACCTCCATCACTCGAGTCTGGTTAGTTTGTTTTGTCCTGAATCCCTCTCCAACAGCATGTCAGGCCATAAAAACCATTTACCTTCACTCTGATCTAACGCACTTACACTGCTGGATGCTCAAGCGCCTAGCAGCTTTATGATTGTGTACACGGTGGAGCAGTTAAATTTACATTTCTTTGTGTCTTAATAGTTCTCATTCTTGTATTTCCTTTTAAATTTATGAGATATGCTTTGACACTAGGCTGCAAAGACTAATTTCCTGAACCATTAACAAATAGATTTCTTTTGAAAAGGGTGATCATATACTGGTTATTGTCTCCTCCTTGAATGTTGATAGTGAGAGCACAGTAGCAAGGATCAGTAGGTCCAGAATTAAGTAAGGTTATTCTTTCTGACCTTAGAAAAAATGCAGGAGAACCTGGAAATATCAGAATATCTTTCAATCAATTTATTGCCACATAATGCATTGTTTATACAAAAATGGATGACATTACATCACTTACATGGAAAGTTCCTTAGTTATGCAGAACATTTCAGGCAAGCTTAAAGTTGATTTACGTTTAGAAGGACTAGAGTATTTTACATGTGTATATCAGACAATACATAATAATTTTCACAGTAAAATAGATTATATGATTAAACAAATGTGTATCAAACGGATAAAATTTTAACAACTTACAGAGCATTGAGAATACTTAAATTATACTATATTAAGATTATTCCATTAATTCACAACTAAATTGTAATAAAAATTACAACAAGAGTGAAACTAGTTACCTGTATTATTACTAAATGTGTTGAGATAGTATTTTACATGTATGTATATAAGACATTAATGATAGTCACAGTAGAATTAAGTGAGAATGACTCATTGTATATGGACAGATAAAACCCTAGCAAGGTATATGAGAATAAAAATACTTAGACTACAAAATATTTAAAGTACATATTCAGTAATTAAAAATAAAAAAAATTAATAAAAATTATGAAAGGAATGAAGATAGCTAGATGAAGTGATACTAAATATGATGAAAGAAATGTTAGCCAGGCTCACATTAGGGTAAGGAGGTGTTTTTATTTCAGTATCTTGGAGGTAGTTGGCTGATAATAATAATAAATAAAATTTGTTTTGACATGAAACGTGTATACAAATTGGGTGTACATGCCAAAAGCCCCTTTATATGCAGAGCATTTTGGGTAAACTTAAAATTAACTTAAGATTAATAAGGCAATAATAGTACACATGGTCATTAGATGAGTTACAATGAATATGAGGGAATTGAGTACATATTCTATTAGGTCATGCTATATGGCTTTAATAAGTCATAGTGAAGACATACAATTATGATTATTAACCTTAGGTGGCCACAATGGAGTGATTAACATTTGAGAGTAAGTATATACAGTAATGATTATACTGATGAGAGAGTTTTACCTATGTTCATGATCTTGAGCAAATGCATGTACAGTAGGGCCCCACTTTTACGGCAGGTTAGGTTCCAGGCTACCGCCGTAAAGCGGAAATCGAAGTAGAGTTGAACACCCTTTTTTCCACTTATAAATGCATATCCAAGTCAATTCAATTCAAGTTTATTCTCTATAAGGGTTACAATGTGGGGTTTACAGGTTTTGGGTATTGTGTGGTTTACATGCTATAAAATACTAATTACAGAGGGGGCCACTAGGACACCTAGCATGGCTAGGCATTTCGAGCAGACTTAGATTAAATCTTAACATTAAATCCTTACAGATTAAGGCTAAGTGACTACATCATAATTTGTGAGTTTAGCAATGTGAATGCTTTTGTTTTGGCACAATACAAGGTGTCTATATTGGAGTATCATAGGCAAACTTATGACTAGTTAGGATTTATTATTTTAAGATTAGTATTTCTGGGTTTATAGTCAGTGGGTGAGTGAGTGTAATTGTGAACCACCAGGTGGTTATCATGTAGTTAGTTGTCGGGGTGGATCAGGGAGATAAGATGTTTTCTAACTGTAGTTTTGAAAGTGATGAATGTGTCTGCAGTTCTAGAGTTTTCAGGTAGGGTGTTCCAGATTTTAGGTCCTTTGAAATGCATTGAATTTTTGTAAAGGTTTAGTCGAACACGGGGAATGTCATAGAGATGTTTGTGTCTGGTGTTATGCCTGTGGATCCTGTCACAACTATCAAGAAAGCATTTTAGGTCAAGGTTAATATTGGAATTTAAGGTCCTGTAGATATAGATTGCACAGTAGTAAGTGTGGATGTTCTGAACAGGGAGTAAGTTTAGATCTATGAAGAGTGGGGGGTGTTGCCAGGGATGGGATTTAGTGATTATTCTTACTGTGGCTTTTTGTTGGGTTATTATTGGCTTAAGGTGTGTTGCTGCAGTTGAACCCCAAGCACAGATAGCATAGGTGAGGTATGGATATATATATGAGTGAATGGTATAGTGTGAGAAGGGCAGTTTGCGGTATGTAGTATCGTATCTTGGAGAGGATCCCCACCGTTTTGGATACTTTTTTTGTTATGTGTTGGATATGGGTGCTGAAATTTAGGTTGTTGTTGTTGAGGTATAGGCCAAGGAATTTGCCCTCATTATGTTTGGCAATTAGAGTGTTGTCGATCTTAATGTTAAGTTGTGCAACACCTGCTCTGCTACCAAACATAATATAGTAGGTTTTGCCAGTGTTAAGTGTAAGTTTATTGGCTGTCATCCAAGTCGATATTTTGAGCAGCTCCTCGTTAACAATGGTGTTGAGGGTGGCAAGATTAGGGTGGGAGATGACATAAGTCATGTTGTCAGCAAAGAGAATGGGTTTCAGGTGTTGCGATATGTTTGGAAGATCATTGATGTAAATGAGAAAGAGCAGGGGTCCAAGGACACTTCTCTGCGGAACTCCAGTATCAAGTGGCCGTATTGATGAGGCTGTGTCTTTAATGGTGACATACTGATACCTATTAGAAAGGTAGGATTTAAAATATGCAAGCGCATGGCCTCTTATACCATAGTGGTCAAGTTTGTGGAGTAGGATGCCGTGGTCTACTGTGTTAAATGCTTTTCTTAGGTCAAGAAAAATTCCTAGCGGATATTCCTTATTTTCCAATGCTGTGTAAAGCAGGTCTAGCATTTTTATAATTGCATCATTAGTGCTTTTATTTTTCCTGAATCCAAATTGGCAGGGGTTGAGTATGTTTTGTGACGTTATAAATGAATATACTGTAGTCTCCTGTGCACGACTTTCTCGAAGATTTTGGATAGCAATGGTAAGTTTGATATTGGCCTATAGTTGTTTACGTCTGTAGGGTCACCACCTTTATACTAGATAACAAGTTTACACTAACATATATTAAGTTAGCAATAGAACTAGGCATTAAAAAACAATAAAAAGTAAAATACACATATAGTACACTCATTACCTACCTCAAAATATTTGTAGTCTTAATCTAGGGTGAGGTGAGTAGTTTGTATGGTAGTCAGCCAGGCTGCCATACCAGGCCACCCTTCCCACACATAATATTCTATGACATTTATGCATCCCAGAGCGATAAAATGCATATACAGTTCACTCATTACTTACCTTAAAATATTTGTAGTCTTAATGTAGGGTCAGAGGTGAGTAGCATTTATTGTAAGAAATCAAGTGTGGTGTGTATGGTAGCCAGCCAGGCCAACCCACCCACACATAATATTCTATGACATTTAAGCATCCCAGAGCAATAAAATGCATATACAGTTCACTCATTACTTACCTTAAAATATTTGTAGTCTTAATGTAGGGTCAGAGGTGAGTAAGAGAGATAAAACGAATAAATGAGAGAGAGAGAGAGAGAGAGAGAGAGAGAGAGAGAGGAGAGAGAGAGAGAGAGAGACAATGAGTACATTAGGGAGGACAGGTGCAGAGTTATGTAAACAAACCAGGGGAATGCAAGTTTTGTAAACAAAGTGTACATGTCT